GGTGGCTTGAGAAACATAGTGGATGTATGTGTGTGTGTACCCCAAATCCCAAAAGGAGAATGAAGGAGAAAGAATTGCAGCATGACCATCATCCCTCATGGCGGCTGCTTTCTCATTTCTCTCTCTCTGGCAAATGCATGCTCCTCCAACAAAATAAAAATCGTCCTTATCCAATTCATGAACCCTCCGAGTTTGTAAAAAAGGTCAAAACACATTTCTGTTCATGCATCTGTAGAATCATTTAATTCTGTGAGATCCAGGAAGTAGGGTGACTGACCACAAGTTTTCAGGTCATGAGCGAAAGCCTCCTCATCATACCTCTGAAAAGGTCCTCACCTGTCCAGAATGTTCTAGAAGGATGGTGATTTCTTAGTTCTGGACACCTCCATTGGGTAGAGCAGGTAAGGAGAAACTGGTCAGGGTCCACAGCACTCCCACCTTCACCACTGCAGGCTCAGCATCGATGCCCAGAACTCTGAGAGAGTGGGGGGTGCGGAGGTGGGGGAGGGAATGCACTGCTCTGAAAAATTCACAAGACTTTGAACAGTGTTATCTGATCAGAATTTTGGAGTTATTCTATACAAAATACTTATTTAAAACATAATTATTAAATTTATTATTATTTTAATTTGATGAGAGAGAAAGAGAAGGAAAGTGAGAAGGCAAGCCTCCAGATCTGGGATTTGAACCACAGTCGGCCATATGGGAGTCTAGTCCCTTTAACCACATCACTTGTTTGTCCCAAAAAATATCTTTTTTTTTTAGAGACAGACACACATCCATGATGGGGTCTTACCATGCCACGATCTTTCTGGCCCACACTCCAACCAGCCAGGATCACAGGTCCACACTGCTGCACTTGGAATGTTCAGGTCAACTCAGGATCCGAACCCAGGGCTCTCTTGTGGCTCCAGCAATGTGCAGTAGTGCTGTACTTTTTGAGCCACTGCACCAAGTCTTGGAGGTGATTTTTTTTTTTTTCAAGTTTCTTTCTTTCATGAAAGGGAG